GAGACAAAGTCTTGCTCTGTCACCCAGGCTGGAGTGCAGTGGCATGAGAGCTCACTGCAACCTTTGCCTCCCCGGTTCAAGTAATTCTCCTGCCTTAGCCTCCCGAGTAGCTGGGATTACAGCTGTCCGCCACCACATCCAGCTAATTTTTTGTATTTTTAGTAGAGATGGCGTTTCACCATGTTGGCCAGGCTGGTCTCAAACTCCTGACCTTGTGATCCGCCTGCCTTGGCCTCCCAAAGTTCTGGAATTACAGGCATGAGCCACGGTTCCCGGCTTTGGTTTTTTTTTTTTTTTTTTTCAGGGAAAGCATAACCAGGAATTTCATCTCTTCCAGAAACATGAATCAGATAAATTATTAATCCGTCAATTAAAAAAACCAAACAGAGGCTTTTCCCTCTGAGCTGCCAATCCAATAAAAAATTAGAGATGGCATCCAGGCATTTTGGAGGTATATAAACCCCTAGATTCACCCACAATACTGCTCGCTCTTTTTATATTTTTGAACATCAACTGAAATTAAAATTACCTTTTCTGGTGTGCTGGAAGGAGATATCAAAGCGTTAGTACTGATCTCGACCATTCTCCACAGTGTTTTTTGCTTTTCTTGAGTAATCACAGTAATTATAAGCCCAGTATCTATTTACCAAGGCATTAAATCAGAAAGAGACAAAGTAAAAAAAAAAAAAAAAAAATGCAGTCATAGAATTTCAAAGCTGAAAGGAGCATAAAGTAAGTTTACTTTGAAGTGAGTGCAATTGCCTAACTTTATAGAAAACCGAGGCCCAGAGAGGTGAGGTGGTCTTGGATGCTCATTCACTCTCTCGTTTGTCCATTTGATGCTTTATTCTTATCTCCCCTATGCTGGGTGCAAAGATAACAGATGTCGAGACGTAGAGTCTCCGAGAAAATCAGCAGCACGCTGGGAGCAGCTGAATCTGGAGACCACAGCTTTCATTTTCCAGTGGGCACACATTCTGCCAGACCAGGTTTTCTTCTATTTGTGTTACGATAGGAGACACCTAGAGTGCTTGTTAGGCCCACACACGCCGGCTATACCCTGGCCCCACTGAATCTGAAAGCACACCAAAGGGAGCTGGGGCTCTATTCTTTTTTTTTTTTTTTTTTAGATGGAGTCTCGGAGTCTTGCTCTGTCGCCCAGGCTGGAGTGCAGTGGCACGATCTCAGCTCACTGCAGCCTCCACCTCCCTGGTTCAAGCGATTCTCCTGTGTCAGTCTTCTGAGTAGCTGGGATTACAGGCACGCACCACCACACTCGGCTAATTTTTGTTTTTTTTTAGTAGAAATGGGGTTTCGCCATGTTAGTCAGGCTGGTCTCGAACTCCTGACCTCCTCCTGATCCGTCTGCCTTGGCCTCCCAAAGTGCTGGGATTACAGGCATGAGCCACCATGCCCGGCTGGCTCTACAACTTTTTTTTGAGACGGAGTCTTGCTCTATCACCAGGCTGGAGTGCAGTGGCGCAATCTCAGCTCACTGCAACCTCCACCTCCCAGGTTCAAGCGATTCTTCCGCCTCAGCCTCTGGAGTAGCTGGGAACTCAGGTGCGTGCCACCACGCCCGACTAATTTTTTTTGTATTTTTAGTACAGACGGGGTTTCAACGTGTTGGCCAGGATGGTCTCGATCTCTTGACCTCATGATCCACCCTCCTCAGTCTCCCAAAGTGCTGGGATTACAGGCATTGACCACCGCACCCGGCCAGCTCTACATTTTTCACAAATGCACAGATGAGTCTAATCACCAGGCACCAGCAGGGCTCCTGTCTGCTGATTTGGGCCGCGGAGCCCCTTTCACTGGCCTCTTTTAATGGCCAGGCTCATAGCCCCATTGGCTTTATGGTCTTATATCTGACTGTTTAGGTAAGAGCTGGCATCAGCATTTCATAACCCAGAGTGAGCCATTGAATTACCTGCTTTAAGCAAAGTAAGAAGCTCAGGTCTACCCCAGACCAAATATATTAAAATCTCTCAAATGGAGACCCAGGGCTTTGTTTTTTTGAAATACCAGGAGGTATTCTGATGAACAGCTGACACAGAGAAGCACTTCCAGCCCAGGGTTCTTTCTGAAACCTCGGGAAGGATCCTGGCTTACAATGTGGTAGAGGAGAGGCTTGGTAACGCTTTTCAAACCCAGGACACGCGGCGTCTCCAGGTATCATGACTCCTTCCGTGTGCCTGCCTATCATCTTAGATTCTGGTAGAGAAAAAATAAAAATGAAAAGAGCAAATGCCACAAAGGTGTTACAAAGCAGCCTGCTCTGAGACAGTGGGATTGCATTGTGTTTAGCTGAGCCTCACTCCTTTGCCGCCTGTTCCATCATCCTGTCCTGATGTCACCTGCACAGGCTCAGGACACACATGCGCAGTAAGAGCCATGCTATCTACATTCCTGCTGACAGCCCAGAGCTTTCCCACCACCCACAGAGCCACGGGCATACATAGGGTGGTGGGCATGACATTTAGGAGATGGGAAGATATCAGAGGCTTCCCCACAGTGCCATGTCTGGGCACACTGACGTATGAGGAACCCAAGTCACTCAAGACAAAGAACATGGGTAAGTGATGTCCTATCAGCAGCTGCACCTCACACCCTCAAAGCCTGTATCGTTATGTTTCTGTTAAGTGTTTCGCTGGGCACGGATGCTCATACCTGTAATCCCAGCACTTTAGGAGGCCAAGGCAGGCGGATCACCAGAGGTCAGGAGTTCAAGACCAGCCTGGTCAACATGGCAAAACCCTGTCTCTACTAAAAATACAAAAATTACCTGGGTTTGGTAGTGGACACCTGTAATCCCAGCTACTGGGGAGGCTGGGGCAGGAGACTCGCTTGAACATGGGAGGCAGAGGTTGTGGTGAGCCAAGACCGCACCACTGCACTCCAGCCTGGGTGACAGAGCGAGACTCCATCTAAAAACTATATTTAAAAAAAAGTTTCAAGAAATACCCTGATAGGACTCCAGTTTGCCTTTTGTTTTCTGTCCTGTGCTGAAATAAGGAGTGAGTCTAGAAGAATATAGGAAATCAGCTCTCTCCTTGCAAGTAGATTCCTATGGCACTACTAAAAAAATCTGCATAGCAAGCTTCATGCTAATGGCTTTCGGTTATGCTTACCTAATGATGCCCAAGCTCTTACAAATTCATTATGAGCCGTCCCTGCATCCTCTTTTTATTACTGTGCTATTCTTTTTTTAAAAAATCAGTAATGCTTTGGATTCAACATGTAACTAGACAGGAAACTTAAACACTTGCAGAAAGTTCTCTTCTCAGCAAGGTCAGGATTGTTCCCATAATTGTTTACAATAGCTTTCATGTTCCTCTTAATTTTATTTTGTTTTCTTGATTGAAATATAGGAAGGAGTTGTATTTTGGGATTCTTGGATTATTTACAACTAAGACATTACATCAAGGGTACTGTTACTTCATTGCACATTAACTGGGTATTTTGTGTTTCTCAAGTATATCTTACAGAGTACTGAAAATAATTCTTTTGTGGAATAAGAAAATCAAGAGCATTTGGATACTTAAGTAGCAGATAATGATGCCCTAATTTGGTATTTAGTATCTTCTGAGTGCCTTAATTTAGCAGCTTTAATTTTTTGAGAGCATTTCCTGAACTCATCTTCTCTTTTTCACCATTTGTACCAGAATCTTAGTGATGCCACCTAGACAGGAGACTCCCCCCAGCATATGGGAAATATACCCCAGTCCAGCCTCTGGGCCTTCGTCTCCCCGATAATCTTAGGTGTTGATACCTGAATGTGTGTTCCAGTAGCGGAGCCCACATCCCTTTAATCTTCCTCTGTTTTTAATGAATGGCTATCAAAACGCATATTCAGTACATGCTTTGAGCCATATGAAATGCACCATCAAAATGCAATATTCATTGCCAAAAGAAAAAGGTTTAGTTTAATGCATCCATACAAAGAGTGACAGCATTCCCTGTTTTATGTCTTCCCAGCACAAGCATGACTTTATTGTGAAATCCAGGTGCAGTCCTGAAGTCGCTCTATTTTTGCTTACTCCAGAAAGGCAGTCTGTTAACTAAAGCCCAAGAATGGAGTACATTTCTCTATTAACCATTTATTAAGTCAACAAGCTAAGTAATGACTACATTTTTCTTTCTAATGTGCCTGCAGTATTATGCATTTAGCAATATTATTCCTTGAACAGATGTGTCTTTTCACTGTCTTCTTCCTTTTCTACGAACATAGGATTTCTTCTTAATTGTATGCTCGTAAGCTGCAACTGCTTCCAAAGGTGCTTCTGAGCACACACTGAGGTCCCTCCATACAGAGAGCCAGGTGACATGAAAACCACAACATCATCAAGAATGGGGGAAGCCAGCTCCCCACATCAAGCACCCAATTAGCTCATATTCTTTGGCTAAATATACTCCACAGCCAGTCCAGTCACCCTCAGTGCTTTGATTTCAGAAGCTTTAGAAATACCTAGAGTTACTTGAATGTGGCAGTATTCAAAATACAAAAGATAAGGAAGAAGCATTTCACAACCAGTTTGCAAACTATAGGATTTGACAGCAAAGACATCGAAGGTTATATCAAATTCCTTCCACGTTCGCGTTTTGAATAACTAAGCACGTTAACCAGTTTTGTGCTCACCACTTCCCTTTATCAATAAAAGGGAGTATTCACAAAGAATCAATATCTAAAGCACGTCAGGCAACTGCTAGACTTTTATGATTTCCTCAATGCTGTGTTAACAAAGAAAACCTTGCTACTATACTTTTGAAAGACACCAATGGAAGCTGACAACCAAATTGATATCATTTTTTTCTTATAAAAAGTATAATGAGCTCTTGGGTCACCTTCAAAATATGGTCACATTCTTTCCCTGGAGTAGAGTTACTGTGGGATCAAGTGACTGAAAAGGCTCGAAGAGGAAATAAAATGATTGCTCAGCAGGACGAGTGCAGTGCTGCTGTCCTCGCCTGCGTCTCTGCCCACAGCAAGGTCATGGAAATTCAGCGTGAGCCCAAGTGGTTCCTCAGCAGCAGACACTCATGGGCATGATCCTGGCACTCGCTGATGTTTGTCTGACAGCTGCGTGTGCTTCGGCCAAAGCTGCAGTAAGTGACCTACCAGGTTCCGCGGAGGAAGCCTGACCCTGCCATTCCCCACTGAGTCAGGAGGTCAAGTGAGAATTCCACTGATGTCTTTAAATAGTCTTGGCTGCAACAAGCTAACGTAGGGGAGGATTTTGGAGTGTGCCAGTGTGCGCCTGGCAGGGATAGGCAGGTCTGCAGTTGCTGCTGGAGGGGGAATTTGGAGGAGACTTCCTTAGCTGCCTCTAAGTGACACTGGTAAGGTCTTCGTGCAATGGCTCAACAGATAACCTCATGCACAAATGTGCTAATGGAACTATGGTATCTGTGATAACAGCAAAAATTGGCTTCTTTCTTTTATGGGTGGGAAAATGGACTTTGGGGTCTGTTGGGAAAAATCACTTGGTCTTTGAATAAGCTATACGGACCCTCTTTGATCAGCTTTTAGAAAAAGCAAGTATTTTTCACAGTAAAATTGCCTGATCTGAGAATGAGCTAGCCACTGCCTCAACACGTTGCTGCTCTTTCCAAATCAGGCGAGTGAAGAGGGGGAGGAATTAGGGTTTGACGGCTGCAGGGAATGAAGTGTTTGACTGATTTAACCCAGCTGTGTTCTTTGCTTACTGTTCTCTGGTTACTGAGACTTTGGAGCTCAGTCTAGCCTACGCCCTACAGTGTGCTATTCTTCCCTCTGTCCATTGTTTGTATCTTTTTTGAGGAGGAATCACATCTTGCCGCAATTGTAGGAACTCACGTGGGTCTGTCTCCTTCTCCAGCCTGTGAGCTCTGTGGTAGGAGGGGTAGGTGCTATTTTTCTCAGGTTTCCCACCCAGTGTCCAGACTGGAAAAGGTGCTAATAAATATACGTTTGATTGAATTAAACTAAGAATACCGAGAAGTTTTACAAGTCTTGGCAGCAACCCCAAATGCTAAGTCTTCTTGTAGTTTGCTATAATTTCATAGACAAATGTGCCAAGAAATCAGAGCAATTGGCTTTTCATTGACCTGAAGGTACTTGGTTTTCTTGAGTGTCATCTTTCCATTCTGATTCTTTAGCTCTAAAGAATCAATATGAATGTCGTGTGGCCCTTGGCTGCTGCTGTAGCAGTCAGGTCCAGTGACCTTTGGTGCAGGAACGCTGTCACTGCTTGCCCTGGTGTCTGTGTTTCACCAACAGCTGTGTACTCTTGAAATAAAAAGCAAGCTTCATGTTTTTACAGAGCCTTTTTTCCAAGGAGCTTTTAAATGTCACTAAACTCATTTTTGTTTAACGTCAACATGGGAAAGTCAATATTACCCTCCTCCAAATTGTAAAAGGGTAATTACTTTTTTGCATGACTTGTCTATGTCTTTCCCCTTTTTTTTTTTTTAAACAGAGTCTCATTCTGTCACCCAGGCCGTAGTGCAGTGGCATGATCTTGGCTCACTGCAACCTGCACCTCCCTGGTTCAAGTAATTCCCCTGCCTCAGCCTCCCAAGTAACTGGGATTACAGGTGCGTGCCACCATGCCCAGCTAATTTTTTTGCATTTTTAGTAGAGATAGGGTTTCACCATGTTGGTCAGGCTGGTCTTGAACTCCTGACCTTGTGATCCACCCACCTCGGCCTCCCAAAGTGCTGGGATTACAAACGTGAGCCACTGCACTGTCTTTCCCTTCTTTCCTGTCTTTTGGTCATTGTTGGCCAAATTATCCCATTTAGTAACTTATCTTCGAGAGGGCAAATGTAGTCATGGATAAGTGAAATTAGAATGGGATCATCTGTTAATAGCCTAGTGTCTAGCAAAAAAGTTCAGGCCGGGCGCGGTGGCTCACGCCTGTAATCCCAGCACTTTGGGAGGCCGAGGCGGGTGGATCACGAGGTCAACAGATCGAGACCATCCTGGTCAACATGGTGAAACCCCGTCTCTACTGAAAATACAAAAAATCAGCTGGGCATGGTGGCGCATGCCTGTAATCCCAGCTACTCAGGAGGCTGAGGCAGGAGAATTGCCTGAACCCAGGAGGCGGAGGTTGCGGTGAGCCGAGATTGCGCCATTGCACTCCAGCCTGGGCAACAAAATTGAAACTCCGTCACAAAAAATAAAAAAAAAAAAAACAAGTTCAAGGACGTGACAATGAGTGGGAGAGGACTGGGAAGGACAGTTGAAATACACATTAAGACCAGGCGCAGTGACTCATGCCTGTAATCCCAGCACTTTGGGAGGCCTAGGTGGGCGGATCACAAGGTCAGGAGTTCGAGACCAGCTTGGCCAATATAGTGAAACCCCATCTCTATTAAAAATACAGAAATTAGCTGGGTATGGTAGTGGGTATCTGTAGTCCCAGCTACTCGGGAGGCTGAGGCAGAAGAATCACTTGAACCGGGGAGGTGGAGGTTGCAGTGAGCTGAGATTGTATCACTGCACTCCAGCCTGGGCAACCGAGTGAGACTCTGTCTCAAAAAGAAAGAAAGAAAAAGAAAAGGAAGGAAGGGAGGGAGGGAGGGAGGGATACACATTAATATCAGTTCACATTTATTATCTGAAAGCCATCATGCTACCCATTACTCACCACCAGACATAAGCATGAGAGGCTTGATGATTCCTCTACAGCCGCATGAAAGAAAAACTTCCTATGATTGTCCCCCCCAGAACTCAAGGGGAGAGCTCTGCCTGTTTTGGTCACTGGGGACAGAGCCCACTGTGGTTTGCCTTTTGGTCCCAGGTTATACTTCATAGGGGCTGACAGAGGAACATGTCTTGCCACTGCCACCCGGCCACAGGTTGCTGATTCAATGGTAGAAACCATCTGAAACCAGGTTTCAACACCTGACACTGTCCTTGGCACACAGTACTTAGCAAATATTTGCCTTTTGAGTTACACTGAATTCAGACCTGTTAGGTGTCCACTCTCCCGAGGGCTGAATCTCACTGCTCCTCAGAAGAATCAGAACTATTAGTTCTCCTTGGAGAAAACCAACCCCCTGTTTCAATTTATGTTTAGGATGAGATGAACATGATATTCCATAAGTTATTAAGAACATACAGAGTTAAAAGTAAACACCTCCTTAACGTGGATGTGCAACAACGATTTAGCAAAATTAAAAGCATTGGCAGACAGGGTGATAGTAGAAATTGAGATAAGAAAACTACCCCAGCTGGCAGAGTTCAGGTAAGCTGCCTCCCATCCAGGCCTCCAGGACCCACGTCAGGTGTGTTTTTTGTCCTTTAGGTAGCTGAAGAGCATCTCCAGGCCCCCCTCCACCAGCTCTGGCAGAGGCTTGGATAAAGGGTTGTGGGAAATGTGGAGCCCTTTGTCCATGGGATTCCAGGCGATCCTCACCAGTCTACACAGCAGGTGGAGTTCGCTTGGGAGGGTCTGGATGTCGTTGCTGTTGAGGTTCAGCAGCTCCAGGCTGGTGACCAGGCAGAGCGACCTCGGGAAAGAGTGGATATTGTTGCCCTCGGCAATGAAGATCTGCAGACTGGCCAGATGCTGGATGCTCTCAGCGATGTTTTCCAGGCGATTGGAGCCCACGTGCAAGAAGATCAGCTCCTTCAGTGAGAACACACACATGGGGATGTGCGCAAAGGAGTTGTTGCTGAGGTTCAGCTTCCTCAGTCTGGAGAGGTCAGCGAAGCCTGCAGGGAGCTGGGACAGGCAGTTGTGCGACAGGCTCAGGACCTCCAGGTTTCGGCACAAGCTCAGCTCGGCCGGCACCTCGGTCAGGCAGTTCATGTTGACAAACAGGACCTTGAGGCTCTGCAGGAGGCTCACCTCTCTGGGCAGGCTCTTCAGGCGGTTCCCGCACAGGTTCAGGACCACGATCCGGGTCAGTTTCCCCACCTCGGGAGGGAGAACCCGGAGCTGGTTGTGAGACAGATTGAGTTTCTGGACCTCAGACAAGCCCCAGAGAAAGTCAGGGATGTCTGTCATTCCTCTGGTGACCAGGCTGAAACTGACATGGTGCATGCCACGCTTCAGCAGAGACCGTGGGTCCCTCCCTGAGAGCAGGGCATCGTCCCATGGAGAAAACTTCTGTCTCCTTCCGATGAACAGCACCCGCTTGGGGCCCTTATCCTTGGAGCTGGCTCTTGACTGCCTGGCCCCCATCGTACCTTCCCTTCTAGTCACCCTCCTCTGCCACCTCCCAGGCGTGGACTGTGTCCTCTCAGCTGCTAAAAGCCAGGCTGTTGCAGGCAGAGATCGTGTGTCGGGGTGAGAACCAACTTGTGGCGGGGAGGTCCCAGCATGGAGAAAGCTGCCACAGGAGTCTTGATCAGGCCTTGCAGGTGTCCGAGACAGGTCCCTGGGTGGCTGCAGGAGCTGTGCTCGTCCCGCAGGGTTTAGGTGTTTTCTCTCTGAGCAGCTGAGCTGTAATGATATACTTGTCCAGGACGCTGCTAAACTGCTCGATTCCCTCTGAATGCTACAAGGCAGCTGTCACTGTCACTCTGCCTGAGTTTTATTGACCGGGAATGTGCAAACAGGTCACAGGAAGGCTGCATATAACTTTACTCTCTCGGCTTTTCTTGGGTGTCACAGTTGAGCAGGGTGATTAACAAGCCCTTCTCTAAAAAGAAGTAAAGTGGAAAAACAGAGCAGGCCACACCAGCACCAGCTGTCGGCAGGATTGCGGGAGCTCAGCCAGGCAACTTTACAGTGAAACTGGGCTCTGTGCTAGCGACAGTTATGTCTTTAAAGCTAAAGATCATCAGATGATATCCTAGGTGCCCTTTCCAAACCTTGATGAACTGTGTGTTTGTGAAAATGTACCAAAAGCAGCCCGGATACCTCAAATCTTCCAAGTCAAAGCTGTTTAATTCTGTGCTTGTCAGAGGTGATGTAGTGAGAAGGGAGTTGTGGGAGAATCTCAACCCTTCACTCCCATTTCAGCCAGAGAAACTCTGGGCTCATCTGTCTTACAGAGACCTTTTCTGCATTTAGTAGGGTGCACTTTAAACGTCTCAACAGCCACGTGAGTAGCCACCTGAGTATGGTAAGCACCAACCACCCATTGTCCTGGACGGATATAGTGAGGCCCCCCTTGCTACGCACCGTTTTCTCTCTCTTTCTTGTCCACCCTGTCTTTTCCTTGAATTAAAAAAAGTTAACTTAGACCTTAAGTTTGCAGAGTTAATTGTTGGTGTTACAGGCTGAACTTTGTCCCCTCACCCCACCCTCGAATTTCATATGCTGAAATAATAACTCCCAGTATCTCAGAAGGCAGCTGCATTTGGCGATCGGGACAAGTGAAGACACAGGGAGAAGGCAGCTACCTGCAAGCCAAGGAGAGAGGCCTCAGAAGAAACCAATGCCTTGATCTCAGACTTCCAGTCTCCAGAATTGTGAGAAAAATAGATTTCTGTTGTTTAAGCCACTCAATCTATTATGGTTGGAAAGGAGGCAGACATACATCTGCATAGGTGAAAAATCCGAAAAATAAGCAGGGATTGGCTGGGCACAGTGGCTCATGCCTGTAATCCCAGCACTTTGGGAGGCCAAGGAGGGTGGATCACAAGTTCAGGAGATCGACACCACACTGGCTAACATGGTAGAACCCTGCTGGGCGTGGTGGCACATGACTGTAATCCCAGCTGCTCGGGAGACTAACGCAGGAGAATTGCTTAAACCAGGGAGTCAGAGGTTGCAATGAGCCGAGATCGCGCCACAGTAGTCCATCCCAGTGACAGAGCGAGACTTTGTCTCAAAAAAAAAGTAGTGATTAAGAGGACAAGAGATATCAAGGTGCTGCCCTAGGTTCTAAGCAAAAGGCTTGTGGTCTGTGGCAAGGGCTGGTTTGGCCTGAAAGGTTAGAGTTTGTGCAGCTATGTGTCCTGGAGACCCTGCTGCTTCTAGGATACTGACCTCACAGGGCTGTTGTCACCAACCCAACAACTGTCACTAGGTCCTAACTGGGTGCTGCCTGGGGAGCCTGGAAGTCCATCCACACTCAGGGCACAGGATCTGGGCAGAAGGAGCAGCGGAGGTAAAACCAAGGAGAGACCACTTCCCTCAACACACGGCATTTGAGAGAGACACGACCCCTTTGACTGAGTCAGCTCCAGGGATTCTGGACAAAGGTGGAGGCTTTGCACATGCTTTTCAAGAGGCACCTGAGTGTTCTAATTATCAGTGTGGTGGGTGGCACCACACTGGTGGCTAAATTTAGACCCTAAGTTTTTGGAGCAGACCATGACTTATATATGTAAATTTCATATCGTTCTGCTGTCAAAAAAAAAAAAGCTAGCTATGCTTCCTCTTTCCTTCCATGAGCCTGAGAAATTATGCTAGAGTGCTTGAAATGTGGGGAATTGGAGGACCTGGGATGGTTTATGAAAAATATCAACAACTTTCTTCTTGTGGCAACTCTCTCTTCCCCCTTAATACATTTTGTCTAATAAATATTTTTGAGCACTTATCAATAGCCAATATTCATCAGATGTTTACTTATGTGAAAGTCACTGTACCCCTCACTTTATATGCAGAATGGGTATTAAAATTATCTCCATGTTACAGATGAGGAAAAGGAGATAGACAAAGGTAAAGTTACTTATGCAAAAATCAACTCACTTACCCGAGATCAAGTAACTAGTCAATGGTAGAACCAGGATTTGATCTCAGGATTCAATCCCAGTTGGTCCGCACACACCTCTTGTGGCTGAGAACCAGAGGAAGACGCTGGTCTTACCTCTGTAAAGAAGCAAATCAACTCTGGCTAGGACATGGCCCCTTGCTTTCAAGTGCCAGGGTGTAGGACTGAGGGAGCCCAGATCAAAAAATGACTCCATTACTGCATGCATAGAAATAATTACACAGGGCCGGGCGAGGTGACTCACACTTGTAATCCTAAGACTTTGGGAAGCCGAGGTGGGAAGATCATGAAGTCAGGAGATTGAGACCATCCTGGCTAACACGGTGAAACCCCATCTCTACTAAAAATACAAAAAATTAGCTGGGCGTGGTGGCACATGCCTGTAACCCCAGCTACTCAGGACGCTGAAGCAGGAGAATCACTTGAACCCAGGAGGTGAAGGCTGCAGTGAGCTGAGATGGTATCACTGCACTCCAGCCTGGACTACAGAGCAAGACTCCATCTCAAAAAAAAAAAAAAAAGAAAGAGAAAGAAAGAAAGAAAGAGAAAGAAAGAAAAGAAAAGAAAGAAAGAAGAAAGAAAAAGAAAGAAAGAGAGAGAGAAAGAAAAAAAGAAAGAGAGAGAAAGAAAAGAAAGAATGAACAAACTACACAGCTAGATACTAACCCTGCTTACTCTAGGCCAGCAGAATTAGGAATAGCAAAAGTTAAAGTATCACTCCGGAAAACTTCAGAGTGAGGGGTTTAGCTCCTCCAAAAACAGTTCAGGTCATCTCCAGAGTTTCTCATATATCAAACAGATGAGCTGTGTCACTAGCTGACTTGGTTTCTTCTAATTTTTTGAAATGTAAATGCTGCCCACTCAGGGACTCTCAGTTATCCAGTCAGTACACAGTTCTCTGAGAGGACATTCCTTGTCTCTGGTCTCAGTTTTCTCCTCTGTGAAATGGGCCTTTTGGAGGGGATGATGGCCGAGAGCCCCTTCCGCTCTTCCAGTCTGATTCTCACCACAGATTATGCCACTTGTGAGAAACTGAAAGCTACATTAACCCCCTTTCTGGTGAAAGTATGCAAAATCCAAGACAGCCTTCATTTTTGTAACTTTAATGTTTGTCCTGGGGATAAACAGTACCAAAGAAATGTTGTTGGCTTTCAGGTTCTCTATACTGTATAGACCACATGTTTAACCTTTACCAGAAGAGACTTTTCAGGGCTCTCTGATGGAATGCAGTGGAAATAACTCCCAGAACATCGCTGGACAAGGTTTTGAAATTCCAGGGCACTGTAAGTAATGTGATTATCTTTAAAACCTAAGGAGCCGGTAGAATAACTGAAATGCATTTAATATGCCTGACGTGTTTACTGCATTGCTATATATTCCAATTGATTGTTCCAACATATCAAAATCAATATGGATTATTTCTTTAAACCTAGGTAATGTAAAACTGAGATAATGAGCATGTAAAATAGTAAGTTATGAAAATATCTGAAGCTACTTCTGAATTCACACTAATGGAGTGTCTATGGAAAACAATACATTTTATTCTATGACTTTTCAGTTTATGCCTGTGCATCATATCTGTTAATCTCAGAAGAAAGAAATGTGTACTTCTAAATAGTTTATTAAACTTTTTACTGTTCAAAAACTTTTAAATAGGACAGTTGCAGTGGCTCAGGCCTGTAATCACTTTGGGAAGCTGAAGCAGGCAGGAGTTCAAGACCAGCCCGGGCAACATGGTGAAACCCCATTTCTACAAGAAATATACAAATTAACTGGGCATGTTGGCACATGCCTGTAGTCCCAGCTACTCGGGAGGCTGAGGTGGGAGGAACATTTGAGCCCTGGAGGGCGAGGCTGCAGTGAACCATGATCGCACCACTGCACTCCAGCCCAGGCAACAGAGTGAGACACTATCCCCAAAAATTAATGAATTAATTAATTAAAATAGAAAATACAGCAGAGTATATGAAGAGACAACCCAGTTAACATTTGGCATATATAAAGCTAGATCTTTTTTTCTATGTATACTGGCTTCTGTCTTCCTTTACAAAAAAAAAATTTTTTTTTTCCAAAATCTGCCTTAGCCTACATTTCCTCTAAAGCAGAGCTGAGGCAAAAGCTTATGGGGCTGATATTTTATTAAGGAGCACAGTCATGGGTAACCAAGAATGAGGGAGATATGGGGAGGAGCATCAGGAGGGGAAGCAAACACAAGTGATGTGCTCTGAGCCGCCGCATCTTTGCATCAAATACACCCTGTTGCTAGGTTTTGCAACCTTAGAGAGGCTATTTTAAACCATTGTAGCTCAGAATGGTCCATGGTTAAGCACCTGTGAAATGCATGCAATGGTAAAACCTAATGCACATTTTAAAAAAATCCCTAAATCATAGCTATTGATGACATATGGCCCATAGTATAGTACTAGGACAGGGTAAGAACTCAATCAATGATAGTTATTCTAAAAATGGTAGCCATTATACACATACACACACACATGCCCCTGGAGTCATTCAGAGAACATTTTTCATGTGTTTGATTTTTATTTTTTCCTTCTTTATGAACTTTACACTTTTTTTTTGAGACAGAGTCTTGTTGTGTCACCAGGCACCAGGCTGAAGTGCAGTGGCACGAGCTTGGCTTACTGCAACCCTTGCCTCCCGGTTCAAGCAACGCTCCCGCCTCAGCCTCCCAAGTAGCTGGGACTACAGGCGTGCGCCACCATTCCCAGCTAATTTTTTTTTTTTTAGTAGAGACGGGGGTTCGCCACGTTGGCCAGGATGGTCTCGATATCTTGACCTCGTGATCCACCTGCCTTGGCTTCCCAAAGTTCTGGGATTACAGGCATGAGCCACTGCGCCCGGCCTACACTTTAAGTCCAATCAAACCTATTAACTCTGAAGCCCATCTCTCATTTATCTCCCATTCATCCTCAATGTTAGTGCTAGGAACTGTTTGAGGCACTTTCATGCATTCTATCTGACGCAAATAATACTTGGGAGATTGATTATTAACCTCTTGTTAACTATGTGGAAGTTGAGCCTCACTGAAGTTAAATGACTCTGTAAGTTGCAAAGTCAGTTACTACCAGCATCAGAATCAACACTCAGGTCTTCTGATTCTGACTCTGGTTCTCTTTCTACTACACAGAAACCTGTCTTCCTCTGCACAGTTTTTCTTAATAAGGTGGCTGATTATTTTTCCAACTGGAGCATGCCACAACCTTCTGGCACACAGTGATTGCAGAGAGAGGCAGCATAATCTAGTGGCTAATGTCATAAGCTCTGTTTGCCTGACCATCTTGGGTTTCAATCCTGGAAATTTTAGTCAAAGGCTGGGTGACCGTGGGCAAGCTACTTAGTTTGTCTGTGCTGTTTCCTCATACATAACGTGGGGATAATATTACTACCCATCATATAAGGTTTCTGTGGGAATTACATGACTATGTACAGAAAACACATAGAGCACGGCTTCATACGCAGCAAGGATACCTGAAGATCCCAAGGAAGATGTCAATTCCACAGCCACCTCTGAGTGCTCAAGGGCTGAGTACCTTCACCAGCAGGGCAAGCCTGGTCCCTTTCCTCGCCTATAAACTTCCTCTTCACCACACTACACCTCAATCAGCTATTCCCAGGGGCAAACATGCTTCTCCAGAGTGTAAGACGCAAGTTCTAGAGGCAAGTTCTTAGAGAGATTGGAATCGAAATAACGTCTCTCCGAAAGTCAAGATCCTCTTGAGAAATCATTTGTCCTCAGTCTGTTGACTGTCTCACTCTTTTCATTCAGCTCACATTTGCTGCCAGCCCAATTCTATTTCAAACCCCTTGTCTCCTTCAGAGCCCTGGAATCATCCCGAGGACACAGTAGGCACTCAGTAAATGTTCACCGAAATGAACAAACATTTGGGCCCTGATGGAAGTTTCGTGTGAGAAAAGAATAATGCAGAGGGCATTGAATACCCCGCTTGTTTTTAATTGCTTCTCTGCTGCTCTATTTGGATATTTGCTTGCTTATAAGTCCCTCCAGAGGACTCTGCCTACATCCTGTGCTGGCGGACCACAGGATCCCTGATTTGACCTCCATCACAGCAGCTCACTGAACAAAAGCTTTGTCAGATAAGCCAAGGCTCTTTCATCTTTAAGAGGAGACCTCAGCACCTTCTCAGGGAAGCTGCTCGGCCCTGCTACGTCCTCCTCTGTAAATGGGGATAACTGTGCCTCCTTCACACAGGCCTGTTGTGAGGATTAAACGGAATGACACAGGTAAAGCAAGTCGCTCAGCACAAAAGGATCCTGTTGCCATGCTACCAGCCACAGTACTCCATCCTCCCATTGTGGCCAGAATGTTCTAGAAGACTGTTCCCATCAACCCACTGCATGTGGGCCCTCCGCTGACACACCTGTGCTCACAGACAGTCCATGCAAGCTATAGTTACACACATGTCTGTGTCACAGCCTCATGCCCCAGCATTTACCTCTAATACTTGTACTTAATAACCCCAACTGGCTCCCCTACACGCCCCTTGGTATTTCATAATGCACTCCTTTGCTCATGCTGATCCTTTGCTACACATGGCTCACACCCTTCATGTTTCCACATAACAACAGTGCCCCCTCCTCCAGGAAGCCTTCCTTGACCACCCACCTTCCTTCAGGGCCATCTGGGCATCCTTCCTTACTTCCCAGAGCATCCTGGACTTACCTTTGTCACAACACTACAGCCCCAGATCTCAACTAGGCCAATTTTGCCCCTCATGGGGTGTTTGACAATATTGGAGATATGTTTCATCATCAACTGTGGAGGTGGTACCACCAGTGTCTAGTGAGTACAGGCCAGTGATGCTGCAAACATCTTGCAGAGCTCGGGACAGCCTCCACAACAATCGTTCAGTCTACAATCTCAGTCACGCAGGGCTTAAGAAACCCTACCATATGTGGAGTGCGGTGGCTTACATCTGTAATCCCAGCACTTTGGGAGGAAGTGGTGGGCGGGTTACCTAAGGTCAGGAGTTCGAGACCAACCTGATCAACATGGTGAAAGCCTGCCTCTACTAAAAATACAAAATTACCTGGGCATGGCAGCGCATGCCTGTAATCCCAGCTACTCAGGAGGCTGAGGCAAGAGAATCGCTTGAACCCAGGAGGCTGAGGTTGCAGTGAGCCAAGATTGCACCATTGTACTCTAGCCTGGGCAAAAAAAGTGAAACTCTGTCTCAAAAAAAAAAAAAAAAGAAACCCTATTATATAGAAATCATCAGCTTTTCTGCCAGTCTCCTCCATTAGACTATAAATACATGTCTTAGGGCTGGAGCTAAATCTTATTCATTATTTGTTCTCCTTGAGCCTAAGATGTTGCCTCATGTGTGGTACCTATTCAATAAGCCTGGTTTCTTCTCACTGTATCCTCTTATTTGTGAATCAAACCTACTCTATTTTGAGAGACTTACTGACTCTGTCCTACTATGTGACCCATATAACCAGAAACATAAATAAAATTGCCTTGCTTGTCAACTGGTATCAGACTTCTATTTATTCAGAATTACACTACTGACATTATTCATTCAGGAAGAAAGAACTTATAAGCAAGGTCATTTCATCTCTTTGAAATCTGAATGTCAATAGCTCTAGCCTGTCACCTAACAAGATACAGAAATTATAGGACTGGTGCAACTCCAAGAAAGCATTGAGTCTACTTTTGCTGGCCAGCTACCTTTTATTAAATCATCTCAACAAAGTTAAATGTATCTTTTAGAAAGGCGGCTTCTAGAGAGACAGCCATTTTGTTATTTCGCATATTTTCCTCTTGGGAAATTTGCTGGGCTAGCCCTAGTCCTTTCGCTGGGCTAATCTGAGTCCTTTGGGTATGAGTTTTCCTTGCATCTTCCTGTTTGTCTTCAATGGAGCTGGGTAACCAGTGAAGGCTGTTATAGTCCTGTTCATTCGGTCCTGATCCATTGAAGTATATTTCATGCTTTACAGCACTGAAGGAAAGGCGAAATAAAAAGATGCTTTGATTAAAAGTCAAGAGAGTAATTAAATACCAATTCAGCCTTCTGCATATTGAGTTTATATCAGAAAGAAAAGTCATAAATTTAAGAGCAATGAGATTCTGTATAATATCCACATACCAAAGTAGTAGACCTTTCTATCAAAGATCGCCTCCTTTTAAGAAGTTTTAAATTATTGTGACATTTCAGGATAATAAATTGATAAATGGCTAAAAAAAAAAGAGAGAAGAGACACTAAGTTCAGTCAAGTGAAATATCTAAGATCTAGGCGTTTC